AGTTTCGGAAATTGTTCTAAGACGATAGAGCGCCACGCCTGGCCTCGAAACGCCGCCACGTTTATAGGGTTTAGGTTCTAAACTTTTGGACGTTCACGCTGAGCTAGGTTTCCAACTTTGGTATCCGAGTTGTAGCGGGTTTGTATTTGCACAGTTACCTATTACCTACGTTTGCAACTGACTTGTTTTAGACAACATGCCATGCTGAGAAGCATTGCGGGGCTGCCTCAAAGTCACTGCCACTCTAAGTATCGCACAGTGTTGCGCACAAACATGCAACACTCCTCACTTCGATCGGCCCTTGCCTTTGGCAATGGCCGGACCTTTTCCCTTAGCCTTACCCTTGCCTCTACCTTTTCTGGACAAAGCGAGTGTTCTGGGGATTCCATCAGCAGCAGCAAGGGCTTTGGAGGCAATGTCCAAAGCTTCTGCCCAAGGTACTCCCTGCATCCAAGCGGAAGCCGCTGCTCGGTGCACGATTCTGACTTTGGCCCTCTTGGTGTAGGACTTGACCAATGCCAGTTTCTTCTCGGGCGCTTTCAGCCTTAAAGCGTTTCAACACAACTCTTATAGCGGTTGTCTGGCAAACGTGCAGGAAAGCAATGTTGGGATACAGACTTTTTTGCTGAGACGCTAAATAGACCTGTATAGGTAGCATCCCTAACTAAAGCCTTGAAGGAACGAACTTCAATTTACGGACTTTATGGCGTTCGCTAACTTTTGTCCGTAACTGATTTCATTGTTAGATTAATTTTCTTGGAAAGGGTTGACAACGGTGGGGCGTGGAACCAGATCATCACGCACAGAACACACACCGGAACAATTGCGGAAGAAACAAACACTGGAACTCTATGTACCAAAGCCCACCGCACTGGAACCGTATATCTGGCCTGCTAGGCTAACGCTGTTGGAGAAAAAATGCATCAGAATTTGATTGCGCTTTTTTGGGGTGAAATTCAGAAACACTTGTCAGCCCAGTGTCGGGTTCCTTCGACCCCGCCATGTCTTCACACAAACACCGAAACAACAAAAGAATATCGCGAAAGCCAAACAACTTCAAGCGATTAGGTGGGACTGCAAAGTCGTCTGGTCGCTGAGCAAACATTGGAGGCGCTGCAGCAGCTGAAGGGCCGGACATGATTTGTACCCTCAGATGAGAAAAGCGGTCGAAGCACCGACGGTCAGTCACTGAAAAACAGCGCCACTGTTGCAATCAACGACTTGTACATACTTGTACAAAAAAAGTGGTTGAAAGTTGAAACAGTCGATCACAGAAAAACTCCCGCAGCACCATTGTTACAAATCTTTTGAACAATAACAGAAACCAAGAAGCGCACTGATATCCAAAAGTGGGTAGTCTTGGAGCGTCCCGCCAATCCAGCCTTCCAACCAATCCGCCGCACGCTCCAATTTGAAAATGGGATTGCGCAGCAGCGGGAGGTACTTCTTCACGTGATCAACCAAGTCTTGCGCCAAAGACTTGTTTTCTGCCAAACCTCAGAATAACACCACATAAGTTTAAAATAAGAGTCCCAGTTTTCTGCCACCCACGGCCAGCGGCGGAACAAAGCGACGCTGTTAGATCTCTATATTTCAAATGCCCAAACTTCGTCAACCAGGCCACACAGCTTCCCCTATCCAAAGATGGACGGGTCAAATTTAATGGGTTCCGTTCCAAAGCCACCACTTTCAAGGTTGACACCATTTCTGGCTTGATAACATCACGCAAAAGGTTACGTTTGTGCTTTTATACTGACACGTTTCCGATCAAAAAACGAGACCCAACCACACCACTTTCAGCGCAGAAAACCTGCAGGCAATCCAAGTGGAAGCAATTGCATGGCAACTTCCTTGGGGTAGAACAGAATGTTGAAGCTAAAGTGCTCGCTGTGCAGCCAACGCTTCGTCCTGCAAATGGGTTGTTGGGACCCACAACCAGGAATCTTAAATGATTCCTGAAACAAAGAAATATGATATCGAATCATGTAGAACTGCAACAAATTAAAACCAGATTGGTTTTAACATGATTTGTATTGCGCCACTCTGCAATCTTCCAATCGCAAAGGCACTGAGTCGCATGGTTCAGGTGTCGTGTAAGAAAGCAAACACTGGACAAAAGGACGCATTGACAAACCCTCAGAATCAGGCCACACAACGTGCAGGGATCAATCACTGCGCAAGGATACTCTTGAAGCAAGATTTTGCAAAGAACATTGCAAAGAAGTTTCTCACGGTTTCAGGGTCCCCTGCAGCAGGAAATCCCAAAGCGCAAATGGAGCAATCTCATGAACCTATTAGGACCTGTTTGACAAGATGATACTTCAAGATCATCTTCTCGCAGGATCTGCAAATAGAAGGACAGTCTTGGAAGCTCTTCGAAACGCATTCCAAAAGCACAAACGTAAATGCTAAGAACCCTGCCTTACTGAGAACTTCTTGGTATGGAGCACACTGTTTGGGGAAGTTCTCCCATCACTTGCTTGCTGCGAGACAGCTTTCAGAACCAAACGCTGGCCTGAGCAGCACGTCGTCACAGTGTTCACCTGCTTTCTTCCAGTAGGAGTCATCAATTTGGTCATTGCCTAGTCCTGCCAGGTCAGACAAAGACCCAAAACTTATTCGGTACAGTCCTGCGTCTGCTCGTCGTTGCAAAAGAAAGTGATGCGGTGCCCCGGGGCCAGTCATACCCATCACGGCGATGGGAACGGCCGCTGTGTGGAACCCTTTCCTCAAGCATTCCGCACCAGGCTCACTAACTTGAAAGTAACTAACACTATTCAATGGCTTCAGCGTTAAGCCACTGTGTAGGTGCGGGAATGGCGCAGAAAACAACAAACCAAAGAATTGCTTCGCAGTTCAAGCACCAATCACGCGTTCTGTTCATTGCAACAACGACCCTCTCCTTCTCGAAGAACTTCCCTTGGTCAAGAAAAGCTCGAACGCAAGCCACTGTGTCGTCAGGCGACTGCAAAGTTTTCCAACGGAGCAGGAACTGTGAGAGGCGACCGAAATGTTGGTCGATATCTTCATGGGAGTGTCCACTCCTCAAGCAACTCAGCGAGGCGCTCCTGACTGTCCGAGAAGAGACCAATGAAGTCAACCAACGAAGCATCATCGAATTTTTGCATTCGCGACACGTGTTATCTGATTGAATGTTTATATGCATCGAAGGTAGGTCGGCACCTTGACGTCTCATCAAGGTCAGCGTATGGCTCAATACCTCAATGCTTGTGTTTGAATCTTTGTGTGTCTCGGGCGGTGTCACCATGAAGAGCACACTCCATCCATGGGCGATTGCTGCCGAGATATGAAGGCGAGGTCTTTGAAATGAAGCAAAGTCTTTGCTCCGCATGGCTTCATGCCGAGGAAGCGAAAATTTCGATTGATCCATTCCATCTGTTATGATGGTCACAGACGGAAGGGATCTGTCCCTGCTTTCCGCTCTTGTACTCCAGTACACAACACGGTCTGCATATTGTTGTCGAAGGTGCTCGTAATACAGCTTCTGCTGGGCTGCGCGCGCCAAAGCATGGCCAGAAAGGCCCCGCACAAGGGCACGGTGCCTAATGCAGGTTCCACATTCATGGTGCTGCGACACAGGCCTAAAGGCCATGCCAGGAAACTCGCTCAGCCACACCTAAGCAGCAAATTGATGGGTTGGCTCGCTGGACCCATGGAGACATGAGAAGCCATGACCCGAGACCAAAACATACCAAACAACTGCCCAACTTTCCTTGTACTAGTACGGGGCACGCGCCAAAAGGTCGGAAAGCTGGCTGGGTTCTCGAGATGTGAAAGCAGCCTATATTGCTCCCAATGGTCTCGCATGCAGCCCGGTGGGAGACATTTTTTCTCCATGTTCGCTCTTAAGGGGTTTATTTCCACCCCCCCTCTTTTTTGATCGTTTCTTCTCCGGCTTGCCTGACAAGTTTTCCTGCTGCGATGTTTCCTGTCCAGCTACCATATCCACCAATGTTTTTGCGTAAGGATCTTCATCGGTCTCAGCACCTGGCGCTTGTAACTTCAACTCCTCTGCAGTGCTCAGAGGATCGTCTCTGACGTCTGGCAGCGTTTCAGCTGTTGAGATATAGAGGTTGCTGAGGAAAGAGACAACATCAGCCCGAGTTTCATGGCTTCTCCCTGAGACACGGGGTTTGGACAAATAGCGCAAATCTGTTGGAGGTGTTGTTGCACCGTTCAGTGCTGCTGCGTGAAGTTTCCCGAATCTCCGTTTGCCTCACTGAGTTCCATGAGGCCTGAGGGTGGTAAGAAACTGCTTTAATGAAGGGCATTTGCTTGTTGCAAGAAAACATATCAATGTGTACATGAAAAATTGGCAACGCCCATCTATCTAGACTCTAGACACCGAACCCATCTTACCAAGGGCAAGGAAAAGATACCCGTTTGAATCAAAGCCCAGCTGCCGAGGGCGTGTAGCTTGATCCAAGATTTCAAGCACACCCTATGCCCCAACAGAATCCAGGACACAGGATTCTCACCTGCTTCCCTCACAAGGTCACGGATCTTTTGCAATACCTGATCCCCACCCAGGAACGAGACCGCTGGAAACAAAGAATGAAATAGAAAAGAATAGACAATAACGACATCGAAAGCAAAGATCTAGGAGCTAAATGGTCTTGGTCCAATTTGTGCAGGTTGTGGAGTTCACTTCGATAACTCAGCAGATTTGAAAAAGCATCCTTCTCGGCAAACTGACGCATACAGTCACGCTTCTTGCATTTGCACCGGCCGGACAGAGCTTTGCGCAGACATGCTTCCACATCAACTGCAGAACTGGAGCGCTTCCGGGTTCGCTTCCCCTTCGGCGGGGGCTCTGGTAGAAAGTCACCTCCTTCTTCAACATCGCTTTCCGAGAGTGCACTCACATTGCCCACCGGCATCGCTCATTGCACTGCTCATTTTTAAGTCTGCCCGATCACATTTGCCGTTCTGAACTTTGCAAACAACATAGAAACCACTTGGTCTCACTTGGTCTGATAAAAACAAGTACAGTATAACACCTGAACAGAAAACTTGAATGTCATTTCCCCTCAAAATCATCTCGGCAAACGAATAACCATGAGGCAATCATGATGTGTGGCACAGTTGACACGAAAATGATTCTTGCCAGGACTATGGCCCAGCACGTGGTCAATCTTGGAACTGCAAGGATCTGGCGTAACCTACCGCGACAGCTTTTCAGCCTCACAACAACACTCAGGACACCGGTGGTCTGAGTCGCTTCCAAAATTGGCTCAAGGCTGTTCACGGAAAAGGCGGACAAACCTGGAAGGCAAAGGTTTTCCCGGACGAAAGAGACCATGGTGACAAACTGAAGTCAACAGTCAACCCGTCTTACTTGAAATCAAGCGCTGAACACTGCCTACTACTTACAAATCCAATGGTTGGAAAATGTTAGAGTTTCATCTAAGAAGCCATGAATGCATCCAGGAGAGACTCATACTTCTGGACGGGGATGTGCATAACTGGACACTGCACGATGTCGCATCCAAGTACGTATGGGTCAGGTGAGTCGTTTGGCTGCATGTTCGGATTCGGAATCAACACGATCCGATCGTTGGACTCAGCATAGAATTTGCGGCACGCAAACACGATCTTGCGGGAATCAGGAAAGCACTCCTCCTTTGCAGTCTCCGGGAACGCAATTGCGTTGCTCCACAAGACCCTCAGCTTGAAGGTGGCCAGTTACAAAATCCAAAAGGCCAAAAACTGAAGTTGTAAATTTGCAAGTTTCACTCCCGCAACAGGATGAGGAACAGTGTTCAGACTAGAAGCAGGACTGTCGGACCTGGAGCCTCTGGGTCTGAGCCCTTGTCCCCATACAAGTGAATGCAATGTTGGACAGAGAGATCCGGACATTCACCTGGGCAAGGCGCCCAAAACTATACCCGTGAAGCTTCCACTCAACACGCACCCGCCTTCAACCAGGCGGCCAAACGCAAGGATGATCTTGTCTTTCTCGATGACCTCCTGGCTGAGAGTGACTGTAGCGCTGTCAAACTAATTTAATGTGGTCCGCTGAATGATATTAAACTCAGGTGCGCCAAGGGTGTGAATTGAGTCTGTCACAAACACATCCTCAAGAACGCGTCGAGGGAGTCGAGGGGCAACGCGGGAAGCGTGTTCAAGTTCAGAAGGACCGGAAGCAACTCGCTCCAAGCCTTTCAAAACACATGGCCGTTGGACGACCAACCATGCGAATCGTGGGAAGTAAAAAAGAAGTTTCGAGGCAGCACGTATTTCATGTTCATGCTGGAGATGGAGAAAAACGTTTACTTCCCAAAACAATCGTCGTTTATTTCCACTCATCAACTCACGTAGTGTGTGTGACGCTTTCTCAGTCAATCAGTAGGCGAAACATGTTGAAACAAACCGTACAACACAGTGCAGAATCTGTCAAATTCGCCTGCCCGGGCCCGACGCGACGGTCTGGTTGGCATGGTGGGTAAACGGCTGCCTCTCAACTGGCTACGGCAAAACGGCCAAAAAGCTGCTGGAAGTGCACACTACCGGCTTCTAAGCAATTTGTCGACTCCCAAGCAACAGCATCCTATCAGTCAGAAATGCAAAAACTCAAATTAGGTGATTGAGCATCATCGAGAATAGTTCCAGTAAGCACACAAGAGATATGAATATCTGTTTTTCAACGTTATCTCCAGGAAAATCCTTTTAGCATCTTTTAGCTCTGATCGTTAGGAGTCATTTAGTTAGGCGACCCTCCGGTGGAATCGTCTCCCTGCTTGGCAAACATGTCTGTAGAGTCAAAGGCAGCTGTGGTTCCCTGTGGGCACAGCATGTTTTGGTGAGAAATGAAAGTACAAGCATTCTCTAAAAAAACACAGCCGACATCAGAAGTCCATCGAGATCATCAGGCGGCGGCGGCAGGCCACCAAACTTCTGGAGGTTATTAAGTTGGTTGTATTTCCGCACGCTCGTCATGACTTGCAGAGCTTTTGGAACCAGAGGCTCCAACATTTGGAAGACTCTCTCACTGTAGAGGATGCTGCACAAAGGGCTCGGGGCTGGAGCTAACACAGAATCCACCAGTGCTTGAGTTGGAAATGCAAAGTTCTGGGCACGAATCTGGATGGCACACCACGCAGCTTTGTAGACCTCCTCAACGCAAGCGGTTTCAGAGCTTCGACACAAGCTTTGCAACAGCCGAGTCATACACAGGAGAAGCGATTCCACCCGCTCGAATCCAGTCTCAATTGAAGTTTCATCATCCCGCGCCCATCTCAAAAGAAGGAAAACCAAATTGGAAGAGGTCTGGGTCTCCATCTACCGCAGGAAAGGGGATGCAAACTGAGCCAAGCTGCCATGGATTGGCTGACAAATGGCACCGAACAAAATACACAAGATTTCCAACTTCACACAGAAATCTTGAGTGACTGCCTACAGTAACATGCCCTGCTTCGATTGATTACACCTTTGGAGAATTGACAGTGATGTATCTCTGGAGACCTTCAGCAAAACAAATGCCCCAGCGTTGAACACCAAAGAGAAAACAACGGCAGTCTAGAAGTGTGAGCACTTGTGCACACGCAAAAAACATCAGAAATCTTTACATCTCCACAGCAATCGCTCAAAGCGAGGGCCTGTTGCGAGTCATCAACAGGGACGCAATTTGAATTAAAGAACTTCAAAGCTGCGTGACATCAATGATACACACACACACAAAAAGCAAAAAGTGACTTTGCCCAATAATTGAGCTGGCAAACTTGTTTACAACAGGTATGATACACCTTACCAATCGAACACACAACTCATATTGATGCCCGCTCCCTGTACATTCGGAGCAAAATCGGAAAGGCTTTCTGTGCCTGCTGGGGCACCACAATGTTCCCAAGGCTATGCATGCGACTTACATCCTGTGGCCTCCTCTCTTTCTCAAGCCACGTCACCAATGGCTGCTGCTTGAGACGGTTCCAGCATCTTGGTAGAACTTGCTGCAACGGCTTCAGCTCCACGTCCTCCAGAATGTTAGTCTTGACAAGTTGACGTTTCAGATTCATGGATCGCTTCACACATTGAAATCAGCCCATGGCCTTCCACAACACTGTTCCTGGCTTCATGGCCAAGAAAAAGACA